TTTCTGCAGTCGTAATACCCGTCGCATTTTTTCTCTTTTGGAAGACACTGACTTTTCGTATCGCGCCCACAAAAAAAATCATCAGTTTGACATTTTCTGTAAGCTAAAATTTAATTCATTTAGTTTGTTTTCTATTCTTTGCAACCAAAAAAATTTGAAAAGAAATGAAGAAAACAATGGGAAGTCGGAAGTGGAAGGGGCGGGGAATTGGAAGAAGTGAATAACAAACAAACAAACAAAAAGTAAATAATTTTAGAAAAAAACGATAAAAAAATAAAAAATAAATTTATTAAATCAAAAAAAAAAATAAAAAAATAAACATCAACGTCAATAATAAAAAAAAAGGAAAGGAAAGGAAAGGAAAGGAAAAAGGAAAAGCGTAAAAGGTTCGAAGCACAAAACTTTCTTTCCTTTTTTTTCAAAGACGACGCCATGTTTATTTAATTTATTCGACGGCTTTAATACCTTTTTTTTTTTTACAAGTAATTGATTGATGGGTTATAAAGTTTGTCGCCGGGAAAAAAAAAAAATTTCCCTCCCTCTCCTCCTCTTCCTTTTTTATAAATTTTCAGCATTATTCCAGAAATTAAATTAAATTCATTCGATCGATCGATTTTTTTTTGTGGGAGCAGAGAGAAGGAAGGAGTTTGTTCCTCAACAACAAATTGTTTGTGTTTGTTTAAAAAAAAAAAAATTGTTAATAACTTACTGCATTCGGCTTCGTCACTTCCATCGAAACAATCAACGACTTGATCGCATCTTTTATGAGGTGGATAGCAATAGGTTTTATTCCAGGTATATTGTCCGCATGATAATTGACCAACTTCACAATCGGGTGGCGCTAAACAAACAAACAAACAAACAAACATTTTTTTTCTTTTCATAATATAACCCCTGATAAAATTATTAAAAAAAAAACTTATACAAAGATAACGAATATATATATATTTTTAATGACGTTAATCCAATCGCAAAAAATATTTTACAATCAATTTTATTAATTAAATTTATTAATTAATAATTTTTTATTGATTAATAAATTATTCATTAATTCCATTGATTTTATTTTAAGCTTTCAAATAATACGAATAAAAAAATCATTCAATCACACCGGAAACTTTGACTTTGTTTTAATTATATAAAAATTTATCAATGGAAAAAAAAAATATAAATCCTAATAAATTTATTTAGCGAAAAAAAGGAAAAATAATAATAATAATAATAAAAATAAACCTTTGAAAATCATCCTTTTTCAACGTATTGAAAACCTTATTAAATTTTTTTTTTTTTTGTCAAAGAAAAAAAAATTTTTTTTATGTAATTTAATAAATAATACATAAAAAATTATTATCAATTCATTTCAATATATGGATATATTTTATTTAAAAAAAGGAAAAAAAGGAAAAATAATTCAAAGGAATATATTCAATAAAATCAAATAATAGAATCGTAATGGCGAAAAGTTACAAAAAAGAAAAAAAAAAGGCGCGAACAAATGACGTCATATATCCATATCCATATGAATGGTTTTTTGTTTTTTTTTTTTTGTCATTTTAATATCACGTGACAGTTGTTTTGTTTAATAATAAATATAATTATTATTATTATTATTTTAATTAATTTATATTTTAAAAAAAAATAAAACTCACCGCACGATGATTGTAATTCGTCTTCACCTTTTTCACAGTCTTTTTGATAATTGCAAACCCAAGATTGCGGTATGCATTTGTCCTCTGGACACTTGAACATTCCAGGACCACATTCTGTCGGATCTAAATCGTGGAGGGGGGGGAGAAAAAAAACAAAAAAAAAAAAATTATTAATTTAATGCGGTGATAATATTTTACGTTGATTGTTTTGGTTAGTTTTACAACAACAACAAAATTTAATGGGTTAGTATGAGGCAAACTTTAATAATCTTTTTCGAATCGGTTTCGCCTTTTCTAAAACGTTTAAAACGTTTCAAGACGAAAAACGTTCATTTCCTATACTTGTCACACACATTTTATAATAATTACATCCGTTAGTAAAACTTTTGTTTTTCTCTCTCTATCTCTCTCGCACACATAAAATTTATGAATTGTAATATTTTCTATGTCTTCCCTTTGTGAAATTTATCATCCTTTAATATTACTTTTATACATATACTTTCTTATTATTATTATTATTATTTTCTTAAATGTATGTGTGTGTAAATTATAATTTTTTTTTCATTTATTTATACACTAGTTATAAAATATTATTATTATGTTTGTTAATATGTTTGTAAATATGTTTAAAAAATTTAAATAATAATTTAATTTAAAGTTTTTGTTTTATTTTTGTTTTTTTTTTTTTTTTTCTGTCGGATTTATTAATAATAATAATAATAATATTTCCCCTCCCCCTCCCCCGTACATCTTAATACGATAACTTTTTACTTTTTTTTGTTTGTTTGTTTTTTTATGTTTTTTAATTCTCACAAAGCCGCTTAAAGAATTTCTTTTTTGTTCATTTTTATATTTTTTAATCGGTTTTTTCTTTTCCTTTTTCTCGAATTTTTCCTTTGTTTTTTTCCTTTTTTCCTTTTTTTTTAAGGAAAAAAACCTTTTGATAATTTTTTTCTTATCCTAAATTGTTTTTTTTTTTTTTTTTCGTTAATAGAAAATATTAAATTCAAAAATTTTCTTTTTTTTTTCAAAGGAAAAAACAAACGGTAATGACGATGAAACATAATTTAACACTAAAACAAATAAGCAAACAATTTTTTTTTTTGACACATCAATCAAATACAAAAAAAAACGCAATTTAAAATTTTTTTTTTTTTTTTTTCGTTAAAGCACATATTAAATGAATTAAACAAACAAACAAACAAACAAACGATTTCACTTAACAAACACATTTAAAAAAAAAATATTTATCGTGTCAGAAAAAAAAAAAAAATGAATATTAATTTAATTTCAATCAATCAATTATTAAAAAATCAAATTTTTTTTTCGTTTGTTAACATTTAATTCGTTTGTTTACTTACATTATTTTTGGCTGTTTGTTTGAATCCATAAATATTAAAAATAAAATTTAAGTAGTAGTCGCATTAAGGTTCCCCGCCCCCCGCCCCGTTATTTTCCCATAAAAAATGTTAATTAATTAACCGTTAATAATAAAAACAATTGAATTGAAATTTGCCAATTTAGAAAAAAAAAAATTTTTTTATTTTAAAACAAAGTCATGACCGTATAAAAAAAAAATTCTCATCTTTTTATTGTAACGAAAAAAAGGAAAAAAGGAAAAAAGGAAAGAAAAAAGGAAAAAAAGGAAAAAAGAAATAAAAGCTCATCTTCATTGTTTGCAGGAGGATGACAAAAGAATAATTGATGCGATTTTAATTTACTTACAAATTTTTTATTTTTTTAAATCTCATTAAATAAAATAAATTTCTTCTGCTACTTACTATTTTTTTTCAACAACTACAAACTCATAATTTATCGTCGTTTGTCCCTATTTTTTTTTTCGAGGGGGGGGGTTTTCGTAATAAAAAAACAAACAAACAAAAGCAACCCGAATTTTTCTTTTATAAATATAAATTAAATTGCAATTGCAAATCATTAAATTCCTTCGGGATAATTCATAATCGGGAAATAATAATTAATTTTTACATTTAATAAATATAACAATAAAAGGAAAAAGATGATGAGAACAAAAGGAAGTGGAAAAGGAAAAAATTTCAACTTTTTCCATTTTAAATGAATTAAACAAGGAAAATGGAATATTGAAGTGAATTATACCCCCCCTTTGTTTTCTTATCATCTAAAAATGGATGGTGTGAGTTAAGAAGAAATCTTACGAAGGAAATGAATCTTTAATTTAATCACTCAATCTCATAAATTAAGTTGGACTTTTTAAAAAAAAAAACGTTTCTCAACCGGGGGGAAGGGGGGGGAGAAATTCTGATGAAATCCAATGATGAAAAAAATAAAAATTAATTTTTCTTCTTCTTTCTGATGTTTAAATTTAATTGGAGTTTTTTTTCTTTCTTTCCCTTTCTCCCCTCCGTATCCCTCTCCCACCCTCCCAAGGAAGGAAATGGATGATACGCGAAACGGAAAAAGTTTTTTTAAGAAAGTAATTTCATTTGCTTGAGTTTCTGCCACGATTTTAGTTTTTAAAAAAAACCCGAATCGATTTTTAAATAATTTTTTATCTTCTTCCACGTCTATTTTTTTTTTTTTTTTTTTAATTAAAAGGGAAGCGTTTGAAATTTTCCAAAAAAAAGCGACGACGCGACTAAATATATATAAATACGTATGATGATAAAATAATAATAATTAACAATTAACGGTTAATTTAAATTAACTCGACGTGAATAATTAATTGGTGCCGCCATTTTTTTTTTTTTCGATTAATAAAATATACCATTGATTGACACGATTAACAAAGGAAAAATTTTATTGAATTAACGGTGAAAAATTATTTCATCATTCGTATTATTAAAAAAAACCTACGTAAATAATTTTTAAAAAATTTTTTATTTAAACTATAAACAGCAGACGAAATTTAATAGAATTGTAATAATAATAATAAAAAAAAGACGTAACTCATCTCTATGTAATTTTAAAATCCCCCCCTCCAAAAAAAAAAAAAAAAAAACTCTTAACTTTATTCGATGAAATATTTTAATTTTTTTAGGGGAAAAGAAATAAAAATTCTTTTTTTTTTGTTATTTAAAAAAAGTCTTAAAACAATCGACAAACAACAAAAAAATTAAAAGGAAAAGAAAGAAAGAAAGAAATCGACCATGTTTCCCTTGTTTGTTTGTTTGTTTGTTTGTTTGTTACACGATAAAAATGGCAAAAGATTTTTTATGGGAGTGCAAAACACAAAAAAAAAAAAATTCTATTGTAAATTGATCTATTGTAACACATTTTAACACCTGAATTGTTTTTCTTATTCACCGATTTTTATCTCATTTACGTCATTTCCGGTTTTGTATTTATTTATTTATTTATTTATGGAAAGACCAACATTTAGTAAGTAGAATTTAGTTAACGGTTTTAAATTTTATCGATTTTTTTTTTTTTTTTTTCGTCTGCTCTTTCTTTACCGAATATAAAAAAAAAAAAAAGTTTAAATTTTCGATTTTATGAATGGGAGACGGGGAGAAGAGCGGGGAGGGAGCGGAAAACGCTAACAAATAAATAACAAACGAGACAAAATAAAACATTTTGATGACCTTATTTGAAAACAACAACAACCAAATAAAAAAAAAGAAAATAACCATTAAAAATTCGTTTTTTTTTAAACCGTTAATTGTCGGAAATGTTTGTACTCTTTTACTCTTTTCCTAGTAATAGCTTACTCTCTCTCTCTCTCTCTCTCTCTACTAACCTGTAAAATATTATTATTATTTCTCAACGATAAAAGAAAAGAAAAGAAATTAATTTTTATTTTATTTTATTTTTTTTTTTCAATTTTTAAGAATAAAAAAATGAAAATGAAAATGGCGTAAGAAATGGAGGTTTTTTTTCTTTTTTAATTGAAAAAAAAAAAAAAAAAAAAAAGATATTAAAGTTTTTTGTCGCCCTCGCTCGACTAAACTTTTCAGACATTTTATCTATCAAACCACGTTTTATTTTTTTGGACATTATCTTTCCTCTATCTATCCATCTATCTTTTATTTTTTCTCGAGTGTTTTAAAACTTTAGTATTCTATTCGGAATTCATAACGGATTTTTCTCATCCTATCTATTTCTAAATTTCTCTATTTCTATCTATCTATTTCTAAATAATAATAATAATAATAATAATTTTATTAAGTGACACAGGTAAATTTCATTAATCGTCATTATTATTATTAATAATAATAAAACACGTTAAAAATTTGTATTAAATTCGATTACGATTTAACGTATAGATATAAATATTTTAAATTTATTTTTAGACAAAATTTTCGCGGGTTTTTTTTAACGAATGAAAACTCGTATTTAATTTACTTAAAAAAAATTAAATAAATAATGATTTTGTATTTTTTTTTTTATTCCAATTAATTTTTAGCAATTAATTATCATTATAATTGACCCTAAGCTTAAAAAAAAATGTATGGGATGATTATTTTAAATGTCAAAAACAGGAAAATTCTCTTACTTCCTCTCTCTCTCTTTAATTTAGTATTTATTTCCGGTTATATATATATATTTTTTTTAAAGAGTATGGATTTGATAGTGTTTATAAATAAAAAAGAAA